GCAAGTCTCTCTGTTTTTTGTCTTCTATCTCGGGAGAATAGGTCGTCAGTCTCACTTGCTGTCTCCCGCCTATTACTAGCCTCTCAGTACCAGTGAAGAAAAGCAGCGCAGAGTTGGAAGAACTGCCTGTCGAAGAACTGAAAGCTTTAAGAGCGGCTTGAAGCCGATGAGAGAGGCGAAAAGACTTCTTCCCAGCCTTGAGCCCCCTTCCCTTTCAAATCGCTTTGCTATACGAAAGGCTCAACGCCAGGAAAGAAAGGAGGGTTTTCACTTCTAGCATCTGTCTGGTTATAATGAGTTGGAAAAGCCATGACATCCGTAGCACCCCCCCGCGATGGTCATGATCGTATAGACTTGCGTATCCCTTGAACGCTCATGGAATTGCCTGGATATAGAGCTCGGCAAATGCATCCATTTTACCGACGCGGTTGTTAACTCTGATGAACTAGCTTTGCTAGCTAGGACCTATTCTCAAGACCTGAAGGAATCGTGAGACCAGCAGGGAACTACCTGGTGCTTGATTGCAGAAGTCAGAAGGAGAGGATGGCGGGCAGCGAGGCAGTACTTATAAGGAAGGCCATTAGACCAGAGTTGAAGGAATGACACCTGTTATTTTACTTATCTAGAAACACCAAGGTACCAACAGTTGATGCCTTCACTACTCGTAAGTCTTCATTGTCATAAGTACCTTATGTAAATGTATATTGTTGCTTGTGAAAGTGTAGTATTCCAATGGGGAGGGAATTCGTTCGTACTTAACAGAGAAGACAAATGGTTGTTCAATAGCTCCTGCTAGAACATTATCGGATCCAATTTGGACACTAAAAACTGTTCTCCAAGAGTCTCAACCAAGGAACCATGTCTATCACAATATCAGAGTGTGCTCTCATACAACGAGTCCGCGCCGCAGTAGCAATGAATGCCCACGATCATCCGAGGCAAGATAGAGGCAAGCTTTCCATTAGAAGCATGACCAAGTTCTTCGTTCGACCTGTCACCAGCGACACTGCTCGTCTAGCGAACAGGATGCGATCTAACCCCCTAGACCCCTATACTAGCATCATGCATCCAGAAATACCCTTCACATCACGGAACGCATACCGCCTCACTAACAAACGAACAATGTCAAGGACCGGTCCACATTTATGGCCCAATATCAAGTGCAGCCGTCACTCAGGCGCAGGATCACAGCACGAAGGCTCCAGTTGGATGGTCAGCTCCACGCTCCTGCGCGAGACACGGCAAACCCTGCCGCACCCCGCGCGCCTACTAGGACCTCCAAGCTGCCAAAAGGAGCAGCCACCGTGCACCAGCGCATGTCGTTTTGTGGTTGATGTAACATCCCCTGAGCGATCGAATAAGGGATCTGCTTCCGCTGGATAGTGCTCGACGGGCCATGGGCGTCCATTGAACGACTTTGCCTCAGCTGATCGTCGCTGTTGGGAGATGCGCATCCAGATTGATCCCCCCTCCCCGCGGGGTCGCGGGGCGACGATATGGAGAGCCGTGTTGCCCCTGGCGCAAGGGGGTCATCTATTTTTTATCTCTCCGAATAGAGACGCTCCCGAAACGGGAGTGATCCTGCTCGTCTGTTACCTAAATTTTCTTCGTTCGACGTAGCACGCTCCCGAGGATGTCACGACGTGATTCCCTGATCGGCGCGAGATGGGCATGGTGAACATGTCCGGCCCAGCGGAGCCGGGCACAGAGCCGTAACAAGAAGGACCATTAAGGCCTTGACAATGGGTGAAAGTCTCGATAGTCTGGATCGACAGTCCGGGCTAAGGCGCACGACTCATCCAGAACGCTTCGTTGCTTGCTAGTTAGCTCGGCAAACATGGATGGTACCCTCGGCACATGGCTGGCAGGGAATGCTTCATTCACTCACCGACACAAGCAGGGACACTTAGAACGACAACTTCAGGAAATGGATCGACAAAGCCTCACGACCTCGGTCTCGCACGGAACAGCATCTCAGCCTCGAGGCTGGCGGCTTTCTGTTCTGCCCAGGAGGCGTTGGGTCCAAACGCCGGCGTCATCGACTCGCTGTACTTGACAGAGTCTTCTCGATGATACTTGCACGCCTCTCGACAATCGGTCCCCTGATCAGGGAGGCGAGGCGGGTCATCAGACCCCAGCAGGCATCGCCCGAAAGCAACGGCGCGCGGGGATAAATGCCCCGGCTAAATGCGAGTCTCAGGCCTTGCGAAGTGGGCTCGCGTGTCTGGGGCACCCACCCTGGCCATCCAGCTGGACCTGGAGCAGGCATGTGAGTGAACCACGAATGAACCGAATGTCGCCTTGAATTTGTAAATGACTACGGCAAGCTACCAGAGCCCGCTGGTACGTTTGGTAGCGCCGGAGAGGAGTGTTTATTTTGGCATAGCCAGAGACAAGCTTGATGACGGGCGCCGGCGCCATTGCGTACTAATATTGATGAGCAGTCAGCCAGCCTGGACTGCTTCAACGCTCGCTTCGGTTTCCAGGCCTGCGTGCCAGCTTTGACCCATCCCCAGTGCCATGGAATGCATACCTGGCTCGGATGGGACATTGAACGGACTGTGATACTTCGAGCTGGTTTGCATGGTTGATAAGCGGGCCTGACAGCTAGACAAAGCATTGATGTTGCCAAATCTCGGCTTGCTGGTCGACTTGGCTGGTGAAGAGAGTGGATCTGGGTCTGACCTGCAACGCTTTGCCGTTCCATCGAACGATGGAAGTGCTAGTCGATAAAGGAGGGTGCGGCAAGCGGAATGCCCGATTCACTTTTCTGAGTTTCCTGTTGCTACAGAAGAGTTTGTGCAGCGCGGTGTACTTCGTAAGTCTCGGTGTAGAGATCGAATGGAGCCTCTCACAGAGATGAACGAGCACATCCATGTTTCCCAAAACGTCAACGAGCATCATGCACTACTGCGCCCCGGCTAAGACCCTTCGCCTTGGAAGGCTATGAGCTGAGCCCATCTCAACTGAGGCAAGGTGAGATGGGTGCTTCACTAGAATTTATCCGGCACGTGGCTAATATATTTACTGCTCCAAGCCGGTCGGGTGTTCCACGTCGCTGGTACACCCCACGAAGTGCTGGTGGCAATCTATAGACTTTTTGCAAAGCTCTGTAGGTGTGAGAATTGCGCCTGTCGCAGGGGCGAGAACAACTTTTATCCCTTCCGCTCAGGGTTGGCACCGAATGTGTGTGGGAGTATCTAAATCCTTCATGTGTCTGACCAGATGCCCTTTCTTTGATGTAGCCTTAGGTGGTTGGCAGGCGTCGTTACCGGATCAAAGGCATGTCTGGGCGACGCACACTTCGGAAAAGTGAAGAGTCGTGCCCGTGTCATATCAGTACACGTAAACTCGAGAGA